AGCTAGCAGAACAACTGAAACTTGTACACGATGAGGTCAGAACAAAATTGAAGATCGAATCTGATCGAATGAAGAGCAAATATGACGCCAGACCGAATCAAGTCGGATTTAGCGAAGGTGAACGAGTTTGGTTTTTCAATCCCCAACGGACAAAAGGCCGCTGTCCAAAGCTTCAGAACTCCTGGGAGGGACCCTATACGATAATCACCGGACTCAACGATGTCACATATCGGATCCAGAAGAGCCCTCAGGCAAAATTTAAAGTTGTCCACATTCACCGTTTGGCCAGATATAACGATGATCCAGGAGTTACCTAATCGGGGCGATCAGGGTTTAGAAGGGGGGCAGTGTAACGGAAATGGCCTGGGGTACTCACGTTTGGAATGGGGGATCGAAATTCATGGTATTTCAGTAAATGGGAGCACAATTTGGGCCCCATTTACTGTCAAATATGACACTGACAAGCGGGAAGTTTCGCACCTGTTCTGGAGATTTCGAGAACTATCTGGGTAACCTGGAGGAAACTATATAAGCGACGACGAGAACCAGACGGAAAAAGTGAAGTGACAGCAACGACCGGGTTCAGAAGAGATTTAACCCCGTGAGTCGGAAGAGCGAGTTTTTCGCCTGTTATTGTTATTGTTTGTGAAGTTGACGGTAATTTAGAAGTTAGTTTGTTCCTGTTCCGTAGTTAAAGTTATACCGAGTGGAATAAAAGTTGGAAGCTGAAGAAAGAGTTTGATACCCGGCCATCCGCGGTACAATAACAATTTTATGTTTAAACGTCATAATCAACTGGCAAACTCAACAATTTTTCAACTCATATTTTTACAAGTGTTTAGCATTTTTATGTTATACACATTTATCGTTTATATCTCTATAACAGAGACATGGCAATGATTTTCGTTGGTTCAAATATTTTTTATATTAGCTGTCATCTACCCTTTGCTTTTTTCTGCCACACGTCTCGCTTTTGAGCCATCTGGTTCAGATTTATGAAAGGTATTTTAAAAAATTGCACCATTATTCTGCATGTGTAGGTGAATGCTTAACAAGTACAAAAAACTGTGGAAACTTTGTTAGAAATTACTTTATTAACTTCGCACATGTAAATCGGGTTTTTCTCATTACCACAAAAAAGTGGTAAATTGGTACCATGAAATAAAATTTGTATCAGTTTAGTTTGACCGTACCTGGATTTGCACGGAATAATTTTACAGAGGAAAGTAATGTGTTTAGTACAACAGGCAATCTGGGCAATCAATTAATTAGAAGTTAAGATATTTAAAAACATTACTTCGACTGTTCACAATGTAGCTTGAAAAGGTATAATTATTTAATTAGGTAATAAACATCCTAAAATGTAAACGGTTTAATGCTGCTAGAAATTTTTTTTATTAGTAACTAAAAGTATTTTCAAGCTGCCTGATTAACTTGAAAAATATTGTATGGTAGCAAAAGAAGTACCTAAATGATATAATTAATTATAAAGAGTTCAGCTCTGCAATAAAAACGTTTCATTAGTAAATAGAAACATTTACCTATAGTACCTGAAATAAATTGTATATTGGCATAATAGCAAATAAAATAATACAATATAATATACACCGTTTGACGATGTAAGCAGAAATCTAGATCTTAAGTAAGTAAAAAGAGGACACTAAAATTTCGAAGAAGACGTTCTGCAAAATTCGCAAAAACCGCAATAATAATTTCTTAAAAACTGCAAGGTAAATTTTGCATCAAACATAATGTTAATGCAAGCAACTTAAATGTTGCAAGTAAAAACTACAAGGTTAATTGTCATCTACTACTTCAACATAAATAACCGATAAAATTCCCTAGCACGAATCGTTTTGTAAAAAATATTAGGTTTCATATTTTAATTAGAAAAAACAACGCGAAATCTAAATAGGTCGGCAAGGATCACTTGCAGCCTCTTAAAGGGGCCAACCGAAAAACCATCCAAATTCGTCAAAATAGTTCCAGCTACCTTTAGGCTCTTTGATCTGGATTCTGGGGTTTTTTACACCTGAAAGCAATAAAAAGTTTAATTTACAGCAGAAAAAAACCTTCATAATTTATACCTTTACTTTAAAAATCATACAAGATGTGTGCATGTTCATAGCCGAACACTAATGTTGATTGTTATAAAAAATATTAATTTTGACTTCTAAGAAAATTGAAGGGTGCACACAATAGACCACTCTTTTGTTTTTGTTTCGGTGAGATTTGGGAAATGCTCTTTTATGCACTCCCAGAGCTGGTGGTCTGTCGCTCTGGGTTGTGTGGGACTCCAGCTAAGCTGTTTACCCACTAAAACCCTTTCCTCACCGCCGAGGTGGTGTTTGGCCTTGCACCGCAGTCATTTCTGCCCTATTGTGCCCTCGTATTTTACTCCCTCATTATCCCTGCGTATTCAATGAATTCCAGAAGAATCTGGGGGGGGGTACCACACATGACCTGGTCTGGTAGTCATCCCTGGCTGCAGCTCGTTGATTTTCCCAAGCAGGTGCCTCTTTATGAGTTCTCCCCGCTGAAGAGAAAAGATTTTCTCGGGATACCCGACCGCCGCTATGGCTATCTTAATCCCGGAAACCGCAACCTTGCACGACTTGTGTGTGGTTCCTTCCTATACGGAAGTTCTCACATACAGCCGCCCAGGTGCTTTGCAACCCGACCAGTTCATGTGCTTCAAAACTGAGTGAAAAGCCCTTAAAATTTGGCAAATTGAACAATACCAATTAGAAATACCAATATTGTTTAATTTACGCAACTACGTAATGCAATTACTTACGCATTTATGCAACATTCAAAAGCGCAGTTCACAGAACAACACTAATTTTATATTTAAATTGGAAATTTTTTTATTAAAACCGTACTGACTTTAAATTAATATCACAGAAGTAAAGTTTGGAAAATTTAAAAGCCCAGTCCAGAATCCCGAAACTCCTTCGTCGTTCCTTGTTAAATAAATATTAGGTATATGCAACAATATGAGACTAAACGCTCTACATCTACATGGCGAAGTAATGCCAAACTTACCTACCGAAAGCTGCATCGTGACACCTGGACTGAAAGAAAAACATTATTTAGTATAGAGGAAACTCAGTCCAAAGGCAATTATTTGAATAGGCAAATAAAATTAAAATTAATAGAGAATGTCATAAAACATTACCAGCTTTCTCAAAGCTTCATTAATCCTCCAAATGCTCACAATACACTTATATAATACACACAATGAAAGTCTACTTCACATTGAAAACTTTACACGTAAACATTCAATTAAGATCCACAACAAATTAGAAGCGGTGTAACTCCTGTACTTAACGAACAGGATGATCTACTGCAATTGGATAACTGACACGGTACCAAATCCTGCTGCAAGACGCAGAGGACTTTTTTCCAGCAAGACTCAAAAGACTGACGACATATTTTATTGATTACCCGTAATAAACTGCATATTTAATCAAACTGTCGACGAAACTCATGCGATTTGGACGTTTTTTTCACATTTCAAACAGACCGAGCTACAGAACTAGCATGGTGATATAATCGTTTTCTTTATCGTCTCTTTAGGATGAACGGTTTATTTTGCAGCTCGATTTAAGATTTTTAATGTTGGCAATGTAGTAGAAAGTTCCAGTTTATGCGCGATATGACGACGCTTACGAATCAAAATATTACCTGACATCTGAATCTAAGAACAATTTGTGTTGATTGAACTTTATGTGCTCATAAGTAAAGCATAAATACATAAATACTTATTAGGACATCTGGAGAAGGGGATGAGCCATGTACCATTCAGTAGATACAAGTAACCTGGCGTTATTTTATTTATCAATTTAACATATAATTATCAAAGAGTAATTTTTACCGCATATGTCAGAAGACAATTGGCACAGTTGGTTAAAATCCCCCTGTTACTTCTATAGATGTACCTGTCACGTAAGAACTTCTACATGACGCCAGAAACAAAATGACTTCTGCAATTTCTGAAACAAATCAAGAGAATGGTCGTTTAGTGTTACGGTTGCCTAATAAATAGTATCTTGATATAGAAAAGCAGATGATCTGGTTCAATGTGTGCATATAATTTAAAGTACTTAGTTAAAAATGTGGTATATGTTTTCATATGTAAATATCAACAAGCGTCTAACTATGGTACAAGTGGTGAAAGTACCACATTCCCTTTGTTTTTCATTAATAATTAATGTATGACAACATTTTCATCTTTTGAAAAATTGAGATAAACCTACATGAAATTCAACATAATATGGAATTTCGGACACGCTACCTTTCACCTGCTTCTTAATTTATTCTATCTATTCTTCGTCGTATAAATTCATACTAGAAAACAGATGTGAAGACCAAATTATGACTTCTCCGACTATTCCATACTAACGATTTAAAACTGTAATTTGCAAACTACACCGAATCGACTATAGACAATAGTTTTAGAAAAAATCAAAGTTGATTTTCCTCGATACAGACGAACATTTAAGATCCATAATTAGTATTTAACACTCAAAATTTTATTGGCCTGTAAATAAAGCGTAGAATTAGATAATTATAAAAATTGCAAAAAAATCAAATTAAAATGTAACTAACCTTCAGGTGTGCCAAATCGCCCAAGTGGTATTTGAGTTAAAAATTTAGCTTTAACTTTTTCTGGAACTGCAGCGGTCATAGGAGTAGAAATCATACCAGGTAAAACAGTATTTACCCTTATGCCCTTTTTGCTATATTCCCTTGATGCCACTTTAGTTAATAATTCAACACCTGCAAAATAGTTTGTAATTAATTTTGCAGAATTCTATCGATTTCAACAAAAACCCCACAAACAAACCTGCTTTGCTCGCACAGTAATTTGCTTGACCTATATTTCCATACTTTGCAACTATGCTGCCAACATTTATTATTGAGGCCTCTTGCACATTATTTTCAACAATCGAATTTGCAAATGTTTGGAGAATTAAAAAGGTGCCCTAAAACATGATGTGATTTATCTAGTAACTGCACCTATCATATATGTTCAAGGTTGGGGATGTAAGGGGTGAAGGTTAGGTAGGTTCAAAGCCAAGCCAACCGCCAAATCTTTGTTATTCAGTGCACCCTTCAAAAAACTGACGAGGCTCTGGCGTCCGAGTCGGGGCGGAATAACCGTTAAAATAAGCTGAGAGCTGAGAAAATGCAACACCACACAACACGATGGCAAATGCACGTTGTTAAGGTGAAGGCTAAAATTCCCGTGTATATTATGATATGAACACATAAGGCACAAGGCCCTGAGTTTCAGGCCGCCCGCGTTTCCCCAGCCAAGAGAACGGTAGGATAAGAGCGCAGATGGAGGGTCTTTAGAATCCCCGGAGCGGACCAGACTACCGAAATAGACAAAAGCTGCAAAGAATCACCTATAATACCAGAACCCTATCAACAACATATAAACTACAAGAAATAGAGGAGGAACTGAAATTCATACGGTGAGTCATACTGGGAATCAGTGAGCACAAACGCAAAGAGGAAAGTGAAGTACTAATTCGATCAGGACATCTATTTTATTATGTAGGTGTAGAAAATGTAAATGAAGTAGTGGACTTTATAATACACAAATCACATGTACGAAATGTTCTGCATATTCAAAGCATAAGTCTTAGAGTAGCATATCTGATACTAAGACTAAATAGTAGACACATATTAAAGACCGTTAAAGATCACAGAGCACTGAGAGCAAAGATATCAATAAATATAAGAAAGGAAAAGTCGAAGCTAGGAAGGAAAGCAGCATGTGGGATGCCATTGACAGCGCCAAATGCAGCTCAGTACGCACAACTACTAAATTCACGGCTTACAGCAGCAATGATAAACGATGGTAACTAGACATCGAGGAGACATATAGACAAGTAACAGCAGCAATGAAGGAAGTGGAAAATAAATGTAAATTGGCTAGATTTGAGAAAAGAGAGAAGCTGAGTAGTGCTACTAGAAACCTGATGACGAAACAAAGAAATTGAAAAGAAAAACACTTAAGGAACGCCACACAGCTAAGAGATATTAGCAAAGAGATATCCTAAGCAATTCGAAGGGAGGTCAGGCTACATAACACTGAAGAAATGACCAAGGCAATAGAGGAGAACAAGGGAATGAAAGTAGTGAGGAAAAAATTGTCCGAATGCAAAAGACAATAATACAAGATTACAGATAGTAGGACTAACAACGACAAATAAATAGGAAATTCTGAAAGAAAAGAAAAGAAAGATAATTCTATGTGGATCTCTACAAGAAAACGACAGTATTGGAGGGCAACAGAAACATCCCCAAAATACAAAACCAGGGGTCAGAGTATATCCCAGATATCACACTAGACAGGTGGACAGGACAACAGCTTTGAAGGACATGAGAAAAAAACAATTCACCAGGAGAGGACGGAATTAGCATCGAAAATATCAAAAAAGGAGGACCAGCACTATTAAAAATAGTGTGCAAACTATACAATGCTTGCCTGAGAAATACTACTACGCCCGAACAATGACATAAAGCCATCATACTATTGCTGCATAAGAAAAGTGATACCTATACTCCAAATACAGAATTATAGACCGATCAGCTTACTTTCGCAGATTTATAAAATTTTTATGAGAATCATTCCCAAAAGGCTAACATGCAATTTCTTCTTCTTACAGTGCCTATCCGTTCCGGATGTTGGCTATCATGTTGATAATTCGAACTTTGTTATCAGCGGCGCGGAATAGCTGAGTGGTTGATTGTTTGAACCACGTTCTTAAATTTGTCAACCATGATATTCTCCTTCTGCCCACTCCTCTAGCTCCATATACCTTGCCTTGGAGGATCTTCTGCAAAAGAACATATCTGCTCTCATTGCGCATTATATGTACTAGATATTGTAGCTTTCAAGTCTTAACAGTGTTCAGGACTTCTTTTTTCTTTCCCATCCTTCTCAGCACCTCTGCTCATTGCTTATTCTCTCTGTCCAAGGTATTGGTTGGATTCTTTTCATGTACTTTTCATTGACTTTATGTATACTTCCCTGAAGCATTTGGAGGCCTTTTTCTACATATCTATGGTTTTTCTGCTCTTCAGTCTCTGTCAAAAGTTCGTTTCTTGTCAACTTGTTTGTGACTGTGTCTTTTAGTCTTCTGAAATCATATGTCCCTACACCTTTTTTCTCTACTCTCTTCAGCCTGGTTCCCATTATTCCAATCAACGCGTCATGATCCGACTCAACATCTGCTCCTGGATAAGTTTCTATGTTTCTGATGCTGTTTCTAAATATTTTATTAATGAGTAAGTCTATTTGATTCCTAGTTTTTCCATCATTCGATTTGCACGTGCAGAATCTTCTATAATGGTGTTGAAAGAATGTATTGGTTACAATCAGACCATGTCCCACTCCGAATGTTCTCAGAGTGTCGCAACGCTCATTTCTCTCGCCCAGTACAAAATCTCCAATTCTTCTTTTTCCAAGCTTGGCGAAATCACCCATAATCATACTGTGGCAATAACTGGACTTTTCGAAATTCGCAGATACTATTTTCCGATGATCGTCGCGCAAATCGGAATAATCGAAACCCACAATCATGAGGTGTGGGAGAATTTAATTGAAAATGACCGTACCTACCTTTAAATTTACATCCAAAACTTCAGAAAAATCTTCTTCGGATAGTTTGTTAAGGAAATTATCTCTAGTTATACCAGCAGCATTCACAATAATGCTTGGTGGTTTTAAGTAAGCTTTGATTACAGTATCCAAGGCCAATTTAACGCTATCCTTGTTCTCAACGGACAATTGCAATGAGGTATGTTTGTTGTCTTTTGGTAATAGGTTTACAGTCTCTTTGGCATTTTCGACATTTTTATCTGCAGCTATTACTATTGCTCCTTCTCTGGCTAAACATTGGGATGCCGCCCTACCTATCCCAGAGCCTGCGCCTAAAAACCATTGTAGATTTAAAAATTAACAATATTTTTAACACACATAATTCGGCTAAATATTTGCAATTTTATAAACTAGGTAATGAAAGAAATGTGATTATATTCGGAAAAATAACTTTGATACTGAAGGTTCACTATAGTTATGACAAAAAAGTTATAATTGTATGTCCAAATATGGCATGTGCCTCTCATCTGTTCAGGCAGCTGTGCATATCTTGAAACAATCTGAAATAAGACCATGTTGGGAGAAACGAATAAGTCAGCACTCAGCAGTAGTATAATACCCTCTAAACAGTGCTACATGCAGGATCAAATCTGAAAACACCAATGCCATCATAGTCATCATAAATAAATTTTATATACCTATAATAAAGTCCCTCAAAACCAATACCTCAATCAGTTCCAAAAATCGTCAATTAGGAAAAAAACTAGAACTCAGAGATAATTTTTACAGATTTGTACTCAGAATTGTTAAACAATTTATTATTATACTCGTTTTAGAGTATTTCGAGTACTAGTATTATTATTAGAGTATCGTTAAGAGTACCTAGCTCTAGAGACATCAGAAAACGCCGATTTGATCTCGAGGCGGGCAACATGAATTTTGATGGATAACGCAGATAAGGACCGACTGATTGCCTGTATAAGCAATTCTTCACTTACTGGCCAACGGCTTCGGGCGCATAAGCTGGTAAGTGGAAAGGGCACTCTTTCTCGAAGGCGGAAGAACCAAGAAATGGTCAACGTCATAAGGATGCAGAAAGCAACGAGAAACCACTGTCTTTAAGACTCATTTGAGTATCCCAAAATATCCAAACCGGCAGAAGCAAATTCGAAAAAGGCTCTCAGTCCGGGGCACCCTATCAATGGGGAGAGGGTGCGGAGAATCCCCCCGTACAGAAAATTTCAAATATACAATAGAGTAACCAAAATCGCTACATGGAACGTACGTAGTCGTTACCCCGCTGGAAAACTGTCCAACGTGAACATGGAAATGAATCGTCAACAAATAGAAATTCTTTGCCTGAGTGAGACGCGATGGCTCGGAGCCGGCAAGGAAAAAACATAACATGGAGTCCTCTACTACTCAGTTAATAACGACCCGAACCACTACAATGGCGTGGTCACGCTCTCGTAGAGTAATGGACATTGTACAGGTATGTGATCCGACAAAGAATAAGGAAGATAACATGGTCGAGGAGTTTTACTACGAATTGGAAGGGGTTACGAAATTGACAAAGAAAGGCGAGATAACACTCGTTATGGGTGATTTTAACGCCAATATTGGAGCTGGAGCAGAGAGAAATGTTCTCGGAAACTTTGGTTTCCAGATAGATTTTAAAAATTACACCCTCCTCGCCTGTATACGTGGAAGTCCTCTGCCGACTGTAAAGAACATCGAGTCAGAAATCAGATCAACTACATATTGATGAATACAATATTGCGGAATTCAGCCAGGATAGCAAAAACATATCCTGGAGCGGATGTAAGCAGCGACCACAATCCAGTTGTAAGGGAAATTGAAAAAAATGCAGAAGATTCACCCAAACACAATACGAATACCTAATCGAGGAGAGGTGGACAGAGATGTAAAGCGCACTAGAAACACAAACAAAACTACAGCAATAACGCGACCATACGTATAACGTACATAAAAAAATCAAGGAAGTGACAGGCAGTAATCGCAATAAGACTAGAGGAATACTGAAAGACAATAACAACATAGTGTACTCGTGGGACCTGACGAAAAATTGAAGTATGGGAAAGAGTATGTTGTTTAGTAACGAACGACCGGAACAACCCCTCCAGGTAGGTGAGATAAACGAGACGAATCCTGGCAACACTAAAGAAGAGGTAAAGCACGCCATCGCAGTGCAGAAGGATGGAAAAGCTGTGGGGGCCGATGTACAGTACACGTTGAAACCTCAAAACTCTTGATGTACGTCTACGGCATAGGAATAAGCCGCCTAAAAGACCTGTTCAACGATATTTATAGAACAGGAAAATTACCCTCGGAATGGCTAAGGCCAATTTTTGTCACTTTACCCAAAAACCCTGACGCGTCCCAATGCTATGATAACCGCACGATAAGCTTGATGTCTCATGTAGATACTGAAAACGTTTTATTTCATACAGTACATATTCAAGAAATGCAAACAACAAGTTGACGACACTCAATTCGACTTCAGAAACGGATTAGGAGCGCGTGAGGCTCGATTCTCGCTTAACGTACTTACACAGAGAGCAGGCGACATGAACGTAGAAATATGTGCGTGCTTTATAGACTACCACAAGGCTATTGACTGCGTGCAACATCAAAAATTAGCAGAAACACTCAGAATAACAGGCGAGGACGAGGGTGATTTGTGAGTCACAACAGAACTCTACTGGCATCAGAGAGCTCAACTAGTGACACCTATCACACTATCACACTCTGGTGGGGGCACTAGTGTGTGATAGTTGCGATTCGACGAAAAAGGTACTATCAAGAATTGAACAGGCCAGGAGGACGTTTATCGACATGAAGAACTTTTTTATTAGGTGTGACCTAAACTTGGGTCTTAGAATCCAAATGCTACGCTGTTACATATTTCCCATCCTCCTGTACGGCTGCGAGGACCCTCAACCTCTCGCTATAAAAACGCATTGAAGCCTTCAAAATGTATCTTTATCGGAGAATATTACGCATAGCCTGGATCGAGAGAGTAAGAAACCTCGAAGTTCTGAATAGATTTCAGAAGAAAAAGGAGATAACGCTAACAATCAAAAGCGTAAACTAAGGTATATGGGACATATTATGAGAGGTGATGGATATGAAATACTTCGGTAAATCATTGACGGAAAGATTCAGGGGAAGAGATCAATAGGGAGAAGGCAGAATTCCTGGCTCAAGAACCTACGCCGATGGCTCAGTAAAACATCATCCGAAATAATCAGAGCGGCTGTGTCACAAGTAATTATTGCCAGTTGGATTGCCCACCTTCGAAGGGAGACGGCGCAACAAGAAGAAGAAGACTATTTTTTTTTATTACAAAGCAAAATTGCTATAGAAATGTAAAGGTAACTTTTATGCATTAATTTCATTACTAATTAGAATTTATCTACAATTACAGCTTGAGCCTAAGTTTGTCGCATGTGATATTAACCAACAACGAAATAACCCACAAAAAGACTTAAAAAACACGAATCTCTGATGAAACCATATAACTTTTCACCCCAAGTCATCGCTACCACAATTGGTTATCATCTTCGCCATGTAAGGGGTAACTTTAAAATTTCTAAATATGAAAACAGTTCAAACAGGGAAAAGTAAAAACTTGGTTTAACTAATATACGGAATCCAACAATTGCGAGAAATAAGGTATCGACACAGTCTGTTAAAATCAGAAGAACAAGGCCAACCAATAGAAGAATCTGAAGATGGTAGCAAAACGGATGCAAAAATGGTGCTAACGAAATGTCGACAAGTCGTTCATATAGACGATGAGCTAGTAACCATGATCGCAGAAGCAGTAGCGACTTATATCGGAAATGCTATCAGCAAAGCTAAATGTTTAGAAACATTTATTGCAGTTAATGTTAAAACAAGAGGTTTTTTCAATAAGCAATTCCTGTTTGATAAAGAAATTCGAAAACAGCGCGGATTTCTGAATACAACTATATTTCTTGACAGCAAAACAGCAGAATTACTAACTGTTCCAAACCAGTGGTATCCAATAGTACATTAAGATTTAACTCTGTGCATAACTAGTATTTGCAGATCTATATGGAGATACTTAACGATCTTAACAAAAACTACAACACACCCGAATGCCAGGAAAGAGTTTTAGGATAAGCTTTGCGTAGATATGAAGTCGGAGAGTGGTAAAGAAAAATGAGAATGGTGTGAAATGAAAAATAAAGAAACAAATCTAATGCAACTACACGAAACTGTTTGCAGAAAAGATATAGAAATGTTAGAACAGATGGATAGAAAGATAAAAAAATGTATTGTGGAAACTCCATATAAAGAAAATAAAATTGACAAAATTTGTGGCAAATTTTCACCGTGGTGAATCGACTAAAGCCCCGTACCGACGAATAAAACGAACCGCTTACAGTGACAAGGTCGTCTACATCATTCGTACGTTTGGAAGTCGCATTCAGTTCGCAATGAGCACTTCGCTGTCGATAAAGTGGCAAAGCATCAAAGAGAGTTCGAAGGAATGACACTTATTGAAGTAATGTCCGATTGGACTAGGCCTGGGTAACACAGTGTTGTCTGGTACGTTTGTATTGATGCCGCTCTGGCCGTGAATGCGTAGCGTCTCACGGCGCAACACCATAAATAACATTTAAAAACCCATGGCACATGACTATACGACACCACTACACATTACTTATCACAGAGTCCTCTGTGAACTCCCTAGACATTTATCGTATTATGAGTTTACTGCATCATAAATTGGGCTGACTCGTTGTATTGAGCCATATCGGCATCACTGCGAGATCACCTCAAAACTATCGGTGTTACCCAGGCCTAGCTTGGACAGAAAGCCGATATTTTCATTGAATGGCCCTCCAGAATGTATTCTGAGCATTGATACAAGATTCAATTAGGCAGGAGGTTTATATGTCGTCTTATGCTCAACCAAACCGAATGTGACTTTGGAACTCAAGGTTATTACATCATCAAAAACGACTCAATTATGGACGTCATCCCAAAGCTCGTCGAACTACAAAAGTGCCATGTCAAAGAAGCCGTCTGTTGTAGTTAAAATTGCAAACTATTAACGAAAGTTCGAAGAAATGGCACTATTTGATGTTACACCCGTTTGGACGGAAACCCGAGCATTTCGCTCAATGGCTTGCTAAGAAATTAGCTTTCAATTGTTTCCAGCTTCGTTTCGGCAGACAGACTTAAGTCTATGTAAATCAAACATAACATTGGTTTACAGCGATATTACGTTTCGAAGTTCGGTTATAGGTTTAGTCGCGATTTCTGCAGCCGTCATTACTGCGGCCCAGAACAATTCAATAAGGCTAAGTTTGTTGTACATCTGCTTCGAAAACCAGCTTTCCGCACAATTAAAGTTTATTTTATACTAATCTCCAAAGTTTGCTTTTGATTCACATCGCACCAATGCTGATTCCTCCCACTATAGCCGCTAATTTTGAAGGAAAATTATTCGACATTAAAAATCTAAATTACATCTTCCATGGAAAAAACCATTCGAAGGACCTTTTCCAATTAGAATTATATATTTAATGTTTTGATTCTTTCTCTAAAGTACCTAAGTAGGTCAGAAATATGAGCTAATCCGAGGCTCGCTATAGGCCGTGAATTCCTGATTATCATACATAGTGACGAAGTGAACTAGCCCTGAGTAACACAGTCCTTCATCTGCCTATTATTCAGAATCCCTGTTATAAACGTTACTTTCAATAACTTCTGGCTCCTGGTCTGAATCAGGCCTGGGCAACACAGTGGATTTTCAGGTGTTTCACACAGCGACACCGATACGGCTTGCCGTATTGATACAGCGACACAGCGCGCCACACATTGTATGTTGGGAAATAAAAACAGAAGACCCTGTTTCGTGCTGTCTAGTGGTTCGTAAGTTCGCCAATGGAAATTTTAAGCGGTGCAGCGCGTTCAACGCTTTTTTCTTTGGATTTACTGAAGAGAGGCTATGGCAGATGCCGGTTGCATTGGTTTAATGAAAGGAAATAATGAACTGGCAACACGTTTTCTTCTTGTAAAGCCTATTTGTCTTGCAAGTATCTCTGATTGGTTTCGAAGCTGCTAGGTTAGCCATAAATTATGACCGAATTACTTTTGTCCCTTTATGTATCCAAGAGCTGACAAAACCATTTCAGTTAGTTTTTTGGCCTTCTTTGCCGACTGGTTTTAATCAAAAGTCAGGCATTCGATTTTTTCCGATTTGAAATATCGAAATCCCAGATGTTGTACTGGTACCTGCGAGCAACATCTTATGCGAGCCATATCGAACTAAAATACATAAGAATTCATCAGTAATCAGTACACAAGTATTTCGAGCACTTTCGTTCGTGCGGCTTTGTAACGTAAAATAATCCCTGCCGAGAGGTCAGAAACTATATGGCAACTGCGCGTGGCCTTTGCAAACTGCAATCCGAAGTCTGCCATCTTGAATGAGATTAAATGTTAAGTGTTGTTCAAAGTGCCGTGTCGTAAGAAACTAGGTGTCGCAGAACATAGACACACATAGCAGCATCAACACACAAGTGTCTTAAGACACACATATATCCAGGCCTAAAGTGGGCCAAATAGAGCTGGAAGTCGAAAGATATTCTAAAACAGAAGTCTTGACTGAAATGCTTCCAATTTAATACTGATTAATATATAGAGTAGTAGTAGAAAGTTTATCTTTTTACCGCCAGGCTGAATTACTTACTACAGAGTGATTCAAAATTGACGTCATTCCACTCGGGATGTTGTCTGGGGGTGTTTTAGCAATACAGCAAAAATAGTAACAAAAATTAATTGTTATTAAAAAATGAGAAATTTTGTAAAAAACTACGTCACAAAGACGGCAACTATCGTTTTCAACTATTAATATCAGTTAATCAATCAGTTAATATCATATCAGTTTCGAAATTTTAAATTTTCTAAAAAAATGTTTCAATACTTTTCTGGTACTCTACAAGTGAACCCCTATAACTAAATATGAGCTAAAGTGTTATAACTGTGAATATTATTTTTTTGCTGTAAATTTAACCTGTGAATGTGATTTCACTTGTGATTGTCGTTTTTGTGATATAGCAGCGTTATAAGGTGATAGGCCATTGTGGGTCACTTGCAGAAACAATTTTAAAACATTTGTAGTTCACATTTTTTAAATAAATAACCTTATTTAGGTAAACAAAATCTAATATTTTATACATAAAGTACAAATAACAGCCTTATCAAATAGCAACTGGCTACACATTTTGTAAACCTAGGTACTCCAAATGTTCTAAAAACATTCTAAAAAAAATAAAGCAGCAACAAAAAACTTTTGTTTTATGCAGAACGAATAGCGTATATAGCTCTTGAATCATTGTGAGCAAGCTATATTTGATTTTAATTTTTGATCTGAAAAAAACTTTATTTTAGTGAAAATATGTACAAAAATATTACTTCGCTACTCTTACACCAAAACTTTCATAATTTATTGATATTGTGGGATGTTGCAATCCATGTTACGTTTCAAATTACTTATTTTGTAAGATAATTTTGATTTGCATAAATAGCATTTTGCAAAATTAACATCTAATGCAGCAAATAAATTCCACAAGAAATTAATTTTTTAAAATAAAATTTTCCATTGCGTAGCACAATACATAATAAACAATTTCAATTCGAAAAAATGAACAAAAAAGAAACATTAAGCCTATTTCGAGAAGATTATTTTAAAAATAGGCAAACAGGTTACCCATAAACAATCACAATACGGTTAATGAATGGTGCCTACTGAAATGGGTTCCCAAAAATATCAATAAAATCCGGGCTTATGGGAACCCGTTAATGCATGCTTTCATTAATAAACAAAATAATTTTATTTGAGATCTTAAGATCACTATACGCAGCAACTCGCAATGGCAGCGTTAGCAGTGAAAATACAGTGATTCAAAATTGGCGTCATTCCTCTGGAGGTGTTGTCTGGCGCTGTTATAGGAGTACAGAAAAAAAAGTAAAATAAACTAATTGTTATTAATAACTGAGAAATTTGCAAAAAACTATATCAGAAATACGGCAGCAATGTTTTTCAAGGTAATCTGCCTAATTAACATTGCGCAAATACCTGTTGCATAGTAATTATTTAAAACTCCGGTAACCATGGGCTTATACAGAGTGACAATAAGATAGACAAGGATGAACGGTAAATTCTACAAGATTTGTTGACTGCAGAACGTACTTTCGAAATGTCAACCTGTTCTCATAACCTCCAATATTGGTGTTTATAAATCAACCATACAACACCAAACATTTGAATGGTTAACTCCAAACAAGCTAGTGCCTGTGTAATCTCCTTATTTTCCACTCTTATTAAACAGCTTCTCGTATTCAGTTAATTAACTCCTGCTCCATTTGTATCTCCTTGTGATGTGTGTATCGTACAAACGTGGTAGGAATGTAGCCCTTCCTCGGTATTTATTTGGTGCTTGGGAAAGTGTCAGTTATTGTGCTCTGAGTGCCCCTGAAAGACCGTGATTCGATCAGGTCCAATACTTGTTCCTCTGCTGTTCTTTCAGCTTCTGCTATGTTACTGTAGCCTTTTTCCCTGAACTAATCGCATATCAGCAAATTCGTGAAAGGAAATTCAAAGTAAGTCACAGTTTGACAAATTATAGTTATTATTGACAAGGACTATTCACCTGTAACTATCTGTTAATGACCAAAAAAATCATTGCCGCTGTGCTTTTTCATCAAAAAATTGTAGAATAGAACTTTTTGACATAAACAATTTTTGTGATTTGAAGCAAAGATCGTAATTTTTCTTTTTGAATGCTTAAGTATTCCAAAGTTGAAATTCGATCTTCAACTGTTCATTTCTTCTAGAAATTTTCGAAAAAAAAAATTCAATATTTTTCTCGTACTCCCCAAGGGAGCCTCTATCACTCCTTAAAAGGAATGACGCCAATTTTAAATCACCCTGTATAAGTCGCTCATTAATATCACGTTTTAGATCAGAGTTTATTTCTACGTTCGTCACAGATTGTGATTGCGATTTATTAGTCGCCGTGAAAAAATCACAGGTTGTGATTTGTTGATGAACTCTATCTATAAACCCCTTAAAAGGAATGACGCCAATTTTGTTTCAACCTGTACACAAAATTGAGTTCAGTTCAGTGGTGTTTATCTATTGCTCAACAATTCATAACACATTAATAAAATTAGATAAGATATGAGACACTGTGTATATTGAGTTCACCTCGTTTCCAAGCATGTTAAGCAGAATTACCTGTTTAGGAATAACAAACTAGCGGATAAAATGGTGTCTGGCAAACTGTAAAATAGCCGATCCTTCGCTTCTGCTTTATATAAGTGTAAATACATTCCATGCTTTAAACTTAAACCGTTATATTAATTCAGTTAATGCTGTCCGATTAACAATAGCGATAGTGATTCAACGCAAGACTAGCTGTTATCAACCTAGCAATTCAAAGGTAGCTTCAAATTCTCATTGCCAAAACAATCACACAGCATTAATAAATACATTACGTACCAGTAATAAATGCAAGACGTCCCTGGACACTCATGTTTATAAAATACTTAAGTAGAAAGTATTTTAGTTATTTAACATCCAACTAAACGTAAATCGGTGTTCCAAATATATTCATACATCTGCGGACGTTTGAACATTATTTATAATATGCGATCCGACTACTATAGAAAATTAAATAATAAATGTGATAAGTTAAGCAAACTTGAACTTCATTCAACCTGGATGGCTAGATTGCCACTGTTGCCAGTGATGCAAAAATAACAGTATGTCTGTTGTGACTCCAAAATGAAGCGGAAATTGGTCAGGCGGGGGGAAAACAAAATTATTATTATCGACTCGCATTAAAGTGTGACTTTTCTCGGTCGAAAGTTCTTTTAAAACAATATGCGATAGGTAGGTATAACCTACTGACCACAAATAAGACATGTTGACTTACCGTCGATTGTTCATTAAATAATTAACAAACGAGGCAATTTCATAAGAATTTGCAATTCGTGTACAGTTATGTGATCACACATCGAGCCCAAAGATGGTGTCGAGTCTTAGTCTTACAAAGACTTATTACGAAGAAGAATTTTAGATTAGCATGCCAATGTACATATTTATAAATGAATCCAAATTTAATTTATACATATCTAACCACATGTATTTTTATTATATATGTTGTATATGTGTATTTTTTTTAAATAAAATTTATACATTTGAACGTATTAACGTTTAAACTAACATTAACAAAAACGATACTGCAGTGATCAGTAAGTCTGTTATGAAATAATATATTTGTCTTTGCATCAGATACATATTTCTATTGTATCTGATGATGCAATAGAAACTTACTTGAATTTCCTTTCACGAATTGGCGGATATGCGATTAGTTCAGGGGAAATGCTACGATAACATAGCAGAAGCTGAAAGAACTCACGCCAACAAAGGGCGAGAAGAGTGTTTCCAGGAAGGTGGTGGACGACAATTTATGTTCGGGTTCCGAACAGAGGGGAACAAGTATTGGACATAATTGCAGAATTGGAATAATTGCAGAAGAGCCTTTCAGGGGAACACAGAACATTGTACAGCAGCTGACACTTTCCCAGGCACCAAATAAAAAGCGGCTGCATTCCTACCACGTATGTAAGATTCACATTGAACTAATGGATTACTGAACACCCGGATAAATTGATCAGGAGTTAATTAACCGAATACGAAAAGCTGCCCGAGAAGAGTGGTAATAAGGTGATTACACAGGCACTTGTTTGGAGTTACAGACTCAAATGTATGTTTTTGTAAGCGAATTAATAATTAGAGGTTATAAGTTTCGAAATAGGTTCCATCATTCAACGATTTCTGTTGAATTTATCGTTTTTCCATGTCTATCTTATTCTCACTCTCTATTTGTCCATGGTTACTAGACTTTTAAATAATTACAAAGCAACAAGTATTTATGTAATGTTAATTAGGCATATTACCTTGAAAAACATTGTTGCCGTTTTTCGGAAAATAGTTTTTTGCAAATTTATCAGTTTTTAATAACAATTAACCTAAACTAACCCAAACTAATTTTTCTGCACTCTTAAAACACCGCCAGACAACAATGATGAGTTTTTTGTTTTCTTTGTTAAGGCTTCTGTCCCAAATTAGTGCACTTTAAAGGGCGATCGCCTTTCTGTCTTGGTATATTCGGTGTTTGATTTCGGTATCGAGAAGCTCGCCGTTGGGGTGTTTTAACTCCCAGCTAGCGATATTATTTTGTTTGATGGTAACTCCGCGTTCCAAATCAAAATCCTTTCGTTCGTCGTTTATCACTACGTACGCTGTCTTTCGTGTGTTTACCTGCAGACCCCCCTGTTGATATTCTTCAATTAGATTTTGCGATATATAGCTCAAATCGTCATGGTCTTGCGTAATTAGCTCTTGATCATCGGCGAATGATTAGCAGTATACAAGGTCGCGCCGGAGAGCAATACAGTATGCGTTTTTTTAATTTTTTTATTTTTGGTGAGGTCCGGGAAATGCTCTTTTATGCACTCCCAGAGCTGGTGGTCTGTCCCTCTGGGTTGTGTGGGACTCCAGCTAAGCTGTTTACCCACTAAAACCCTTTCCTCACCATCGTGGTGTTTGGCCTTGCACCGCGGTCATTTCTGTCCTATTGTGCCCTCGTAATTTTACTCCCTAATTTTTTCTGTATATTCAATGAATTCCAGAAGAATCTTGAGGGGAGTTTGCGTGATCTGGTCTGGTGGAATTTCATCCCCTCCCAGGAGTCTTCATCTACCTGTTGCATATGACGTGCAGTGACACATAAAATGCAGAGTACCCCTGCAGGTTGTTTGATCGCTCAGTCCCATCCTGAAGAAGTGTTTTTTGCAGGGGGCGTGTCCTGTTAAAAAGGCCACTATCCTCCTTATTTTTTGCCTGCTGAGACCTAGCAGTTCATTTTTACGTACTGGTTGTGGAGGTATGGTATGCCCATAGTATTGGACTTCTATTTCCATTCTTCAGGATTCCCTCCAAGTATATTTTGAATAATATCGGTGAGGTACAGCATCCTTGCTTCAATACTTTTGTTTTTTTTTTCATTTTTGATTTTTGTATTTGTTCTTTCATTACAAGTTGTTTGTAGAGTCTCTTGATGACTTTAATTTACACTACATTTATGTTCGCTGTCTCTAATATTTCCCAAAGTTTGCTTAATGCTTAATGGACCACTATCGTGAGCTGTTTTCAAGTCCACAAATAAGAGATAAATTTGTTGGTTGCGCGACGTCTTTTCTTTATAACTTGCGCTAGAGTAAATATATGGTCTACGCCTGATCTACTCGCCCGAAATCTAGCTTCTTCTTCTGCTTCAATTTCTTTGTGTTCATTTTCAAACCTATTTTTCAGAAATTTTCCGTACATCCTACAAATAATGCTCTAGTATCTAAACGTATCCCCTTTTTTGTATAAGGGGCTAATCTGTTATATGATCCATTTCTTTGGGATTTTCGATATATCTATACACTTTTGGTTTAGTATTGTCAAATTTCTGCATAACCTTTCTGTGCGATATTTGAGGAGCTCGCCCGAAATATTTCCCGGTCCCGGAGACTTTGCGTTTTTTCATCTCTTTCCTTATTTCTCCTATTGTTATTCTGAGTGGTGACCCGGTGACGTTAATATTGTCTGCGTTGTTCGATTCGTTTATATATTTGAATTCCTCTCTATTTTCCGTAAGTAGTTCGTGAAAATAGTGTTTCCAATGTTGTGGTTTAATTGGTAATATAGTTTCTTTGTTTTTGTTGTTTCTGAACCTTTTCACTATTTTCAAACTTTCTAAGCTTCTGGTTTCTCCTAACTATAATGTAAGTGTTTATTCGTTGGCACCTCTTTTTTCAATCATCGTTTTTCTTTTCACAGATTTTCATTCCCACAAGCGCTTGTACCTTTTTATATTCTGACAGATCGTCTGGTTTTTTGAGTTCAGGTATTTTTTATATTTTTGTTACTTCTCTCTTATAATTTCTTCATTATCTTCATCCCACCAATACGGTTTGTTCTTATTGGTCTTACTGTAACTTTCCAATGCTTCGCACGCTGCTTCTTAAATGCATTTCTTGATATCTTCGTAGTAGGTGTTAATATTAGTGTATTAGTAATCTAATCTCTTTGGGTATAACATTTTCGAGCTTTTGTTTTCGATGCGTTTAAGATGGAATCGTCGCTCGTTATTTTCTTCTCTATTACTCTGTTCGGGTGTTTGTCTTTTCTTTTTGATTGCCTGGATTCTGGATTTCTGATGTTTCATCTTAGTACCTAAGTAGTAATGGTCAATTCCGCGTGTTGGTCCCCTCTGTACTCTTACAACTTACACTTTGTTTGCTGTTTCCCTATTACATAGTTTGTTATGGATTTTAGGTTTCTTGTATTTTGAATCCACGTGAACTTGTGAATGTCCCTGTATGGATAGAAGACATTTAATATTTTTGGATCGTTCTTGCGTGCACAGCTCAAGTAGTCTTTATCCCTTGTTCTTGGTTACTTCTTCGCCATATTTACCAACTACGTTAGTTATTTATTTTTTTCCTATTCGGCTATTAAAATCTCCAAGAATTATCAGTTCTCTAGAATTGCCAATTTTTGTGATTTTATCATTAAGTTGTTCGAAAAAGCTATATTTAAGTTGTACTAGTTCATCGTTTATTGCGTTTACCCCCAGAATTACTCTTCTGTATCCAAGTATTCTCTTATTCACCTTTATCATTCGTTGGTTCATGGGTTCCATGTTGTGATGTATTTCCGCTACTTTCTGTGTATTAGTACAGACACTCCCTGTTTAGCCCTTGCTTCTTTAGGTACGCCGCTGTAGAAATGATCATATTTCCACGGTTTTCTAGGAAAACACAATCTAGACAGCATTCCGATGCTGTTTAATATACTTCAACTTTTATTATTGTGCACCAATAGAGTTGCCATATAGAAATATACAACTACATTTATGCATCTGCTCAATAGAACTTGCCGTTTTGCCAGATCGAACCTGTTGCTGGTTTCCAAAAATAATCTGAGTATTAACAGTTCGATTCGACTGTATTAGATTTTCATTAGTATTGTCTGTGGTCAAAGGACATCAAGTCAGACAAAAACTTAATTTGTCTTATTATATCTGATGACATAATAAGATTCAAAGTATGATGGTTCGAAACTACCTCTTGTCGTCTCCGTGCTTACGTATTTATGGTATATCTGCCACCCTGTTGTTTCTTCGTGATGGGCGACGGGGTGATTTTTTGCAACTTCTCTACCCTAGATAGAGGCGGACTGTTGGGGGGTTTTCACTTGCTTGACATCTATTGTACCAACAAGCATTTTTAAGACGTATTATTATTACTCATGCTACCTATACTCTCTGGAACACTATCAGTTACTGCCCAGTGAGGCTCTTCCATGTAATGTCTTAAGGATACGGTTTTCTACATCTACTTTTTTATTATTTATTCGTATTATTCGTATACTTATATTCTTCGGACATAGGTGAGTCTGGTACTGTTAATTGATGAAAAACTACTCTTGCGGTTTGTCCAACCGCTGTACAGTATTTATTAAGGTTCATAACTTTTCATTGCTATTGAAAAATAGCAGGTGATCGTACAATTATATCGGTTTCTTGAACATCAGTGAGGAGTAACTATCAGGACACCGACTTAATTTTCACAAAGTGTATGTTCCCGTTCAGCCTGTCTGTTTATTTTTGCAGTTA